CCAAAAATACCTCTAAATTTCTTAAGTAAATGTTGTTGCTTTATATTTTTTCAATTTGTTGATCCAAATATTTGCCAGAATTCAAAATTTCACAAAAAAGTTGTGTCTGAGCTCAGCGAAATGTTCCCTTCAACAACATTCCACGATTTTCACAAAATTAAAGAATATTATACTAATCTGAGAATTCAATGACTATGCCATAAATTCATTAAGAATTCACACCTAACTGATCACAGTTGTGAATTTTGATGTTTGTGCTGCTCACTGGTGCCATGGAATCTAAGCAGGCCAACAGCATAAAAACAAAAGTCAGTACAAATTCACCTGTAGAGGGCAGTAGCACTTACTTGTGTATTGATAGAGTGTAATTGTACTTCCGCCTACTGCTGACAGGAAAATAGAATAGCGTATTCCAGAATCCAAACCAGTAAATGTGTAGGACTTTGTAGTCGAGCTCAAATCACCAGATTCCAGAAAAATAGAGTTTGTACCAATTACTCTTATCTGATAACCGGTTGCATCTATGTCTGGACTCCATTTTATCCAAAGAGTTGTTTCAGTGACTTCTATGATGTACCCAGCGAAACTAGTACCAGCTAATGTGAACACAAATATATAAGATTTTTTAGACATGGTACATAATGAACATTATTGAAAATTATCATATAAAAAGTTATTGAGACATGGCATGTGGAACATTGTTGAGTGGTACGTGGAACATTGTTGAGTGGTACGTGGAACATTGTTGCGACATGCTATGTGGAACATTGTTGCGACATGCTATGTAGAACATTGTTGAGTGGTACGTGGAACATTGTTGAGACATGCTATGTGGAACATTGTTGAGACATGGTACGTGGAACATTGTTGAGACATGGTATGTTGAGCATTGTTGGGACATGGTATTTGGAACATTGTTGAGACATGGTAGGTGGAACATTGTTGAAACATGGTATGTGGAACATTGTTGAGACATTGTATGTGGAACATTGTTGAGAAATGGTATGTGGAACATTGTTGGGACATGTTACGTGGGACATTGTTGGGACACGGTAATTGAAACATTGTTGATACATAGTATGTGGAACATTGTTGAGAATTGGTATGTGGAACATTGTTGAGACATGGTATGTGTAACATTGTTGAGACATGATATGTGGAACATTGTTGAGATATGGTACGTGGAACATTGTTGAGACATGGTATGTGGAACATTGTTGAGACATGGTATGTGTAACATTATTGAGACATGGTATGTGGAACATTGTTGAGACATGGTATGTGTAACATTGTTGAGACATGCTATGTGGAACATTGTTGAGACATGGTACGTGAAACATTGTTGAGACATGGTATGTTGAGCATTGTTGGGACATGGTATTTGGAACATTGTTGAGACATGGTAGGTGGAACATTGTTGAAACATGGTATGTGGAACATTGTTGAGAAATGGTATGTGGAACATTGTTGGGACATGGTATGTGGAACATTGTTGAGACATGGTATGTGGAACATTGTTGAGACATGGTATGTGTAACATTGTTGAGACATGATATGTGGAACATTGTTGAGATATGATATGTGGAACATTGTTGAGACATGGTATGTGTAACATTATTGAGACAGTATGTGGAACATTGTTGAGACATGGTATGTGTAACATTGTTGAGACATGGTATGTGTAACATTATTGGGACATGTTATGTGGGACATTGTTGGGACACGGTAATTGAAACATTGTTGATACATAGTATGTGGAACATTGTTGAGACTTGGTATGTGGAACATTGTTGAGACATGGTATGTGTAACATTGTTGAGACATGATATGTGGAACATTGTTGAGATATGGTATGTGGAACATTGTTGAGTCATGGTATGTGGAACATTGTTGAGACATGGTATGTGTAACATTATTGAGACATGGTATGTGGAACATTGTTGAGACATGGTATGTGTAACATTGTTGAGACATGGTATGTGGAACATTATTGAGACATGGTATGTGGAACATTGTTGAGACATGGTATGTGTAACATTGTTGAGACATGGTATTTAGAACATAATTTGTGAACAAAAAAATAAAATAACACGAGGAACACTAGTAGTATATGATGTATATTAAAATGAAGCAATACATCAATGTATCCTTACTTGTTGTGAACTCTTCCTGTTGGACAGAACTATGTAAAGTCCCACTTATGGTCTGCACTGTTACAGTATAACTTGTTGCGGGTGTTAATCCTTCTAACACAACCTTAGAGATGTCAGACGGCACTTCCATTGGTGACTGAGTAAGCCCATTGACCGGCGAGTATGTTAGCAAGTATTTATCAAAAACATTGCTGGACAAAGCCGGTCCAGTCCAAATGACTTTGGAGGTAGTCTCTGATACGCTGTCTATTGTGATGGATGATGGCGGTTGTGGTTCTGTAAAATAATAGTAGGCAGATTTGTTTTAGTTGTTTAATTATAAATAGACATTAGTAAAAACGAAACACCTTTTCATGAAATAAGCCTCTGTGTCATTTGCATTGAATTCCACATACTTGCTACAGTACATTACAGAATATATAAATAAATATATAAATAAATAAATAAATATATAAATAAAACGTAGTTGAACTTTGGTGACCTTGCCCATTGTTATATAACATTATTCTTTTTATCCTAGTGTGTTTCAATATGAATATGCATTGTCATAATACATTTTGAATACAAACAAGTTTTGGGGTTGAAACAACAGTGGGAAGTCAGTTTACCGAATGTCAATGATAGATATATAGTACATATTTTACAAAAACATTGGTGCCTAATTTGTTTAATTATTTTAAGGGACATAAATTCCAGCTTTATTCAAAGTAATTCAGATTTTTTAGTATAAAAACAAATGCCTCATCTCAAAAAAGGTGCTGCGTTTAGACGTGAATAGATTCATAAACCATGCAAGATACCAGAAAATCTTAGCTAGCTTTTGCCCAAGTATTTTGTACAGGTGTTTGTCAAAAATTAATGATTCACTGGGACAAATATGAACTGCCTTATTATATTCATTGAGTGACAACTGTATTATTTGAAAAGTAAACAAAAACGCCCTCTATGAATAGCTATCATTAATTTTAGCTGAAAAGGCTTTTTGGGCGTTTTGTATGGAATTTATTTTCACTAATTTTTGATGAGTTTAATGTGAAATATGGATTTTATTTTCACGGAATCATCCCTTCAGCAAAAATAGCGAAAATAAAGTATTCTACAGTAGTTAGTTGGTGTCCAGTGGAGAGAGAAGTCAACAGTACTTTGCCTCCTGAGAATCTACATCTTCAAATACTGCAAATTTTGTTTTTAAAGTGCATTTTAAATTACTATAAAAGCTCTGTCATTCTATTTTATTAGCTGAAACAAATTCCTGTGAATTTTCATTTGTCGAATGAACTCTTTGTCAAATACAGAGTACTAGTATCTATTCTTGAGTACATTTTTCTCTGTAAAATGTGGAGGCAACGTTTTGCTTTTTATGTATTTTTTATGTATTGTTTTTGATTTGATAACTTTGAACTGAACATATTTTCTATTAGATTCAGATCTTGATCAAAGTTTGGCACCCAATTCATAGGAGTGCTTATATTGATTTTCTTCTGACATCTTGTTTTCTGTAAAGATTTGATGTTTGCAAATGTGTATCAGACCGTGCAAAAACTCTCTCCGTGAGTTGGTTTGGAAACCTAGTCTAGTATTTCCATGGGATACCAAGGATATTATTACAGGATAAATGATTTGCTTCATTGAACACAGACAACAATGCATATTTTCACTGACATCAGTGTATTAGTCATCAGTGATCAGTCAAGTAGAACATATTTTTTTTTTTTATTTTCTCAATTTGTGTATGATATTTTCATACAGGACATCTGTCATTCATACTCAGAGAAGACTGTATACTGATGAATAAGGTGACCAAGTTTAATAAAGTTTAGAATAGAATTAGTAAAGTTATTATGCAAACAATGACAATTATTAACGATGACAACAAGGACGACAACGCCAGACAGACAATTTTCCCTTAATATACCTTACCCTTCCATCTTTGATGTTAAAGGTAATAAATATATAAATAAAAAATATATAAATAAATAAATATATAAATAAATAAACGAGTATTGAGAGATATTGCTCTGGAACAGCATAAATAAAACAAAATCAGCCATTTTGAATACATGTATAATGAGTACATACAATTTGAACATAATCAGTCACAGCAAATCGGAGATATAGCACTAGAACCACAATCATTAAAACAAAATGGCCGCCAGTCGGCCATTTTGAATCTTATCTGAAAAACAAAATGATGTGCATCAAGGTACTATAATGTCCAACATATATACCATGTTTGAACAAAATCCATCTGTAAACAAAAATGGCCGCCATTCGGCTATCTTGAATCAGATCGTGTAACAAATTGACGTGCATATGTATAATATCGTGTATGATGTATATCTGAAGTTTGATTGTGATTAGTCCAGGCATTCTTAAAATACAGGTCCGGACGCGCGCACGCACGCACGGAGGTCAAAAATAAATCCCCGTTTTCGGACTGCGTCCGAACGAGGACTAATAAATATACGAGTTCAGAAACAAATAACCTTAACATTACAACAAGTATACTTTTGGGATTTACAAAAGTTTACAGTAAAAAATCAAAGAAACTTACTTGTTCGTTGCTCTATAGAGCCTCTCTCCAATTCGGTTCCATCACTGGCAACAGTATACAGTGTAATAAGATATGCCTCGCCTGGATTGAGATTATTTATTAATTGAATCGGTGTCGTTTTGGACACCGTAAATGGGGAATCGGGATCTCCACCTGACGGAGAATAACTTAATTTATATTCATCAAAATCACCCACAATAGGTGACCATTGCAGCAGTAAGTACGTCTCCCCAATCGGCTGCGATACTGTTAATACAGTGGGTACTGTAAGAGAAAAAAATGCCAAGACATTACTCTAATCATCATTATGCTGACTAGTACAGATGTTAAATGGTGAACAATACTATTGTTTATTACTGGTATGTCATATGTAGCATTTATCCCTATAATCAATCTTGCTGCATAGCTGTTGTATATAATGACAGAGTTGTTGTTAAGCTGTGAATGTGTGGAATGGAACTGTAAGTACAACACTATTGTGCCTAAAAAATAACATTTATATTCTACTTTCATCTGGGGGTGTTAATTTGTTTCAGTATGTTTCAGTTAACTGGATGTTACTTAATCAAAATTTAAACTTTTATTTCTAAACATTTCACAAAACTCTAACCTGTTTAACATCTTGATTTTGTAACAGTTAAACTGTATCAAGTTTTTTTTTCATTTATTTTGTTTGCGAATGAGCAAAGTGCATCCGCCTAGATTAGTTATAAAAGATCCTGGAATAGATATTTAAAACCAAAAAAATATACATCTTTAATTTGCTTTCACATTAGAAGGTAGCACATCCCCATCCCTTTTATTAACAAGCCAAGACTTTACATGATTTTATTCTGTAAAAACAACTTTGAAGCCACCATCTTCTAGCCAATGGGTCTTTGTAAACAGATGTCAAGGCCAAACATTTGTTTCAGTTCAGGCCCACAAAAAGTACACTCAGTGTTTTGTATACCTTTATGAATAACGCCAATTACCATTCAGCAAATGTGGTACAGATACAATGTTAGATAGAATAGTGTACACGCTTGTTTAAAACAGATTCAATTTCATTTAAAAGTTGCCAGCTTTTCGCCGAATCTTAAACAGCATGTTAATGATATGTAATTTATAGCGCATTGTTTGTGTTATCAGAGTTCAGTCTTCTTTTAAATGATGTCAGGGATATATGGGGGGTGAGAGAATATTAAGAGATACATGCTTTATGTCTAATTCTATTGTACAAAAACTAATATGCAATGACACTGAATATCCGATACTGAATACATACACATCTATTACATTGAATATACGTATTAAATTATATAATAAAATCAGAACTGCAAAAATTACATACACCTAATGTTATTACTATGTAATACTAAGATACCACCATGAAAAGATAACTACACCCCTAAAAGTTGATTCTACTTGGTATCATTCCAATGTTATTTTTATACGTGGGTTATACCATTCACTAGTTAGAGGGAGGAAAGATTAATATAGGAGGGATGTTACATTATAAATACCACATTAATTACAGGCATATGACTACCAATAACAATACACTATGTTAAACAGTTCTACCTGTATCTATAAAGAAATTGCAAAATGAAGAGACAAGCAATTATGTGCGCATGAAAAAGAAACTTAATTTGCACCGAAAATGCAAGTGTGCAGTTTCCCTAATATCAATAATAGATGTAGTTTTACAATAAAATAATTGAAAAAAAAAACACTTTTTAGTAGTTTTCACCAAATGCAAACACTTTGGTAGAATGTTGTGCACAATTTCATGTATGTTTGAACAAAGCTGAAATCTTTCTTCCCCATTGACTCCATGTCTTGATCAAAAATTTTGAAAGAAATTTGTGGGGGATTACATATGTTTTGTGAAAGAATACAAAAGTTGTCTCTGATGTAAAATAACAATAGTTGCTGATCAAAGTCACCAGGCATTTTGAAACATTTTTTGAGGAGTGAGACAAATCACAACAATGGCTCCAATCAGTATTTTACATCATATCAATGTACATTAGAAAACTGCACAAGAGTTCACCAGTAAAGAAAATATATCAAATTGATGAGTTATGTTTAGTATGTTCTTTTTAGTACTGGAATCAAATTCCCTTATCACTTACAGGTGTTGATCTGAATTGTCTGGGGGTAACTGACTACTTTGCTATCGCCGGAACCAGCAGCTGTGACAACACTAATAGTATATGTAGTTTCTGGTGCGAGACTAGAGAATGAAGCTGTAGTGCCATGTGTAGTTGGGTTTACAGTTTTACTATAACTTATTGAACCGTCCTGTGATACTATTGATACGTCGTAGTACTCAACGTCGCCATCTGCGGCAACCCACGAAAACACTACAATGTTGGGTGTAATGTTGTCTTGGTCATACGTGATCTCACCGGACATGCCAAGTTCTGTTGAAGAGCAGGAAAAGTAAAAATAAAATAAAATAAAATAAAAAGCAAAATGTCAGCAAAAGGTGGCATTTAAAGAAATAAACAGATTTGTTTTTAATTAAGCATTCCATCATACAATGCAACATCAGTAGCCCTCGGTAGATGTAACCATGGAAACCCAATATATAACAACATTTAATGAACTGAAATTAAAATGATGGATGAACATTACTTTCCTGGTGAAAATAAATTTATCTGTAATTTGCATATAATCAGAATAAGGAGAAAATATACAGTTTGGCAATAGACAATTCTTCAGAATTACTTCACTCACATGTCACATGTCAATTTTTAGTATTGATGTTTGATACTGTATGATGGTGGATATATTGGAAATGACATGTCATGACCTGAAAATGCTGTTTTTCAATGAAAAAACCCAATTGTGTTAGTGCTATTCTGTTCTACTGTTGTGTGTACTAGAAATATTTATAGTTGACACTAAATCATATTCCAATTTGATAAATAATATTAAAAAAATTAAAAAATACGTTTTCAAGCTATAATGTTCAAATGCTCAGATCATTAGATTTCATTGCATGTGACTTTGATTAACACTGGTGTTCACAAAACTAGATAAAAAATCATACTATCATAAAGCTTTGAGAACAAAGGTTTCAAAACAGCATTATTTCAGCCACTGACCATTGTTTCGAAATTTTGTCAGGTAACATACAATGAACATATTACATACATGTACGAAGACAATTTTTTAAGAAATTTGTCATTACCTTTTTCACTACCAAACATTCTCGCCCAAATTTGCCTGCACTTTTTTTTTTTAAATTTCTGGAAATGAACCCTAATTTTGGAACCAGCAGACAAAATTTAAGTAAAATTTCAGTTTCTACTCGAAAAATTTAGCTATTTAAACAGGACTATTTTTTGAATTTGTGATGAAAAGAGGGAACTGATGACGAAAAGGTTACAAAGAAGAGTTCCACAAATTTGGTGATGGTTGTTTTCCATAAAATAAATTCAAACTGTATTAAATTCAGCATTTACACCATTACTTACTTGTTCTTACAGTCTTGGTCTGATCCTCTGGGTTGTCAGGAGCTTGAGAAGAAACAATTACCGTGTATTCACGTCCTGGTATCAATCCTGTGAATGTATGTTGTCGAATATCGGTGCTAGTGTAAACCTCTGAAGCTGAATCTGCTGGTGATATTGAGACAAGGTAGTTCGTTGCCTGCGGGTATTCATTGAATGATATCTGTATGCTGGTGTAATTCACTGATTTTATGTTGATTCCTGCAGGTGTACCAGGCACTGTCAAATAATGATAAATTCATTAATTTGTGTTTTCATATGGAAATAGAAAAAGATTTTAGCCATATGTACAGGTACAATATTTATTTCACGTATAGCATTTGTGTCATGGAATTGACAGAGATTGGGAAAATGAAGTTGAGGAAAATGATGCGCTTTAAAATGAAAACTGTTTGGTTGTGCAGTTAGGGATAAAGATTCTAAAAACATTATTTGTTATTGGTGAATGAACTAGAGATGAGATTCTTTATACAATCTGCTACAGAAGGGGCATGAGATGTGCAGCCATCTTTTAATCAAGCCTAACCAAACAAGTTTTCTTCAAAGTAGCACATATATGTATTAGACAAGATATCTTTGTATTTGTCTTTCAACGAGACTGTGTCACATTTGACCCCCTTCATCACACTTTCGGTGAAATACAAGTATAAGTTGAACTCTGGTCTACCAATAATTAGCCAGATGCAACAATCACTAAAAAAACATCTAATATTTTCCTGTATAAATGTACAAGCAATCTCTTAAATAAAGATAATTTAACGAAAGTAAAAATACTCACATGTAGTCTGAGTGAATTCATAGCCCTCACTCTCTTGGTTCCCAGCAACAGTTACTATAGTGATGGTGTAGTCAGTACCAGGGTCGAGACCTTCAAACTCAAATGTATTACTACCATCAACAACGTCATTGGATTCTGGTGTTAAGCCATTATCTGGTGCATAGGAAACTCTGTAATATTCATTGCCACCGACTGGATCAGACCAGGATATCGTCATAGTGTTCTCGCCCACTGCCAGAATTGAGTGTGATGTAACTGGATTTGGCTCTGTAGGTCAAGGTACAGTAATAGGGCAAGTTAAAATAAAACAAGATTTATATTTAGTTGTTTTTGCTATACATAATAGAGATTAACCTATCATATGTTCTATTGGCCCCTAAACCAGCATATAGTATTATTATTTGATATTACAGACAGTACAGGGATTACAAAGAATTATTAGCTGTTTTTTTTTTTATTTTCACTGATAACTAAATGAGCTAAATTAAAATCCAGCAGCATTTCAATTGCCTGAATACGCATTCTGATTGGCTGATAGTGTGATTTCTATTATGCAAGCCTTAGTGAAATACATCATATACCATGGTTGTGTTATGTTTAGATACATGATTTTTGAATGCTTTGTGGTTGTCTCTACATAGTGCCGTGTAGGCGATTACGTTACATTTAGATATAGATCATTCAACAATTCAAAGTTATTTTATTACCCCACTGTACAATTAAATAAGACCAGTGAGGGCGCCATTCCACTTTCTGCTTTCAATGCATGAAAAGACCATTGAGGGCGCCATTCTACTCAAGTGTCATGGCGTACCAAGCCACAATAGGCCAGTAACTAGTAACGAATCCGGCATTCCGATTGGTTCGTTACTTTCTCGTTGCTTGTTCTATTTCCCTTGGTTACCTGACGTCAGCGCTCACGCTCGTGGCCATTCAAGGGGTTTCCCTTTACTTTCGAAAGTTGGGCGATAAAAAACTTGTTTCTTTTGTTATAAATTTGCACAGAAACAGTGAAGAAATGTCAGAAACATCTCAAATATGTAAATCTAAGCAGGCAGTATGTATGAGCATGGCTTTATTGTAGTATTACAGACACGTTTACACTGAATGGAACTTGGAATGTTTTCAAATTAAGTCACTCAGTCACGTGCCTTTCGGCCAGAAAACCGGCCCAAATGGAATAATATGGCGATTACTAGTTACCTGCGTCCTACTGGCCATTCGCAAAGAACGCGGGAACCAGCGAATCTGCTTTCAATGCATGAAAGGACCAATGTGGGCACCATTCCACTCTCAGCTTTCAATGCATGAAATGACCAATGAGGGCGCCATTGCACTCTCAGCTTTCAATGCATGAAAAGACCAATAAGGGCGCCATTCCACTCTCAGCTTTCAATGCATGGAAAGACCAAAGAGGGCGCCATTCTACTCTCAGCTTTCTATGCATGGAAAGACCAAAGAGGGCACCATTCTACTCTCAGCTTTCAATGCCTAACTTACTTGTATATTGTTTTTGGATGACAACAGCATTTTTATTTCCCCCACTCACTGTATACTGTGTCACTATATAAGCAGTCCCAGGAGAGAGACCTGATGCAAATGCTTGGTTTCCACCGACTGATACTGCGTCAAGTTCATTTGTTGGATCACTTTCATCAGCATATGTTATTTTTGTTGAGTCATAGCTTCCAGGTAGATCCTCCCATGTCACAAGCATAAAGCTTCCAGAGACTCCAGTTATAGTGAGAACAAAGTCAACTGAAATAATAATACAAAAATATATCAATTTATGGGGCCAAAAAATAGTGAAAAAAAAAACTGAACTAAGAGACAGACTATAAAATTAAAACAAAATACAATTTTAAGGAATAATTAACTACACAGAATTCAAGTAAAAAAAATTAGTAGCAAAGGTCTGAACAAGACCATAAGCTAGCAGTTGTCTACAGTAATGTTTTTCATTGAAATAAAAAACAATCTCTAATAATTATCAAATCAGTAGGAGAATTTGCCTTCTTAGTTAGAAATAAAAAAACATGATGTGTAATCTTTTCCATAAATGGTTTCATTTTTTATTATTTTATTTTATTCCTTGTTGATATATACTGATAGACATGTGCATATGGATGAAGAGACAATAAAGTTATTATTACATGTATCATTATTATTATTATTATCATTATTATTATCATAATTATTATTATTGACTGTGGTGGAAGCTCTTTGATTGCAAGTTCATTTATCAAGCAGTATAAATTTCAGTTTCAAAAGATTAAAAACCAAAAGATTACACTTATTAATACATTTATATTAATACACTTATAAATACATTTTTTCGCTAGTTCGCCCTCTATGGTTGAAACCAGTGTAGAAAACACTGCTTTAGATCAAACTATAACGCATTGCTACCTGGTGTAGCTGTTGTTGTCACAGTAGTGCTGAATTTTGCCAGTGCACCAGGTCCACTAACAGTTACCATGGAAATTGTATATTCTACATCAGAGGTTAAACCATCAATGGTATATGTTGTTTCATCTCTATTTATGGTGATTGGATCGGATTCAGAGCCACCACTAGGTGTGTAGGTAAGTCGATAACTATCGTATACTCCTACTGTTGGGGGTGTGAATGCCAGAGAAATGCTGTCACCAGTGGTGGCAGTAACTGTCAGCGATGATGGTGGATCTGGAACTGAAAATAAGAACACATACACAACATTATTGTGCATTTTCAGGTTTTTTTTTCATAATATAGATGTGAAACATTCTACAAAGTTCATGTTGCGGGGACATACATGAAATGGTACATCCAGAGTTGCAATTACCTAATAGGTAATGCGGAAAGAGTTCCTTAAGCCCCCTCACCACTAAGCTCGCTGAACCCTAACACTCCATTTTACAATGTAATGTCAAATAATTATTACTGACCCAAAGAGGGGTTTCTATAATTGAAATGGAGGAGAGATACTGTAGGGGCATGGTTTGGATTAGAGTTATGGGCAAAAACAGGTATGAAATGTTATGCCAGCAAAAATGACTAAAAAAGATGGAGTTAAACCTAATTTCACTACCGTAATTATGATGTACTGATGTGAACATAAAAAACAACACTCAGGAAGCATTTTTGAATAGCAGCAACAGATTTGTAAACTTAAATGAGAAATACTTATGTGAATGCTAATTTATTTTTGGGATCATTATCTTTTCAATACAAGCCATAATTTATGCAAGACAATACAAGCCATAATTTATGCAAGAGTATGAAGTTATATACTGTAAAATACTTTATTTTCGCTTGGAATTTATTTTCGCTATTTTCACTGAAGGGATGATTCCGTGAAAATAAAATCCAGCGAATATACTTTTTTTCCTATATTTCACATTAAACTCATCAAAAATCAGTGAAAATAAATTCTAAGCAAAACGCTCAAAAAGCCTTTTCAGCGAAAATTAATTCCAGCAAAAATAAAGTATTCCACAGTAGCTGTAATAATTACAGATTATATTGTCCCAGCAAAAGTAAATATACGATTTGAACTTACCTGCATCAGATAATGTATTTGCTGTTACTTGTGTAGACTCTCCAGCCACACCGTCTACAAATAGTAGAACAGTAAAGGTGTACGTCGTTCCTTGCAATAGTCCATCGACTGTGTAATCATTGCTTGTCGTTATCTCTGATGAGGTACCATCAACTTTAGCAGGACTTATAAAGACATAATACGAAAGTGTTCCTGTTACAGACGGTAGATTCCAAGTTAGTCGTATTGAAATGGTAGTTATATCACTTACAACAAGGTTTTGTACACTTTCACTATTTACCTGTGAAAGAAAACAAGACATCCACCATAGTAAACGAGCAATATACAATGTTATTCTATAGATAAGTCATATACTAAACGCAATTTACATGAAAGTCACGTGCATTTATAATGTTGTCTTGGAAGTCCTGTCAACTACCTAGTCACATTGAATAAACAGATGCATGTGATATTTGTAATATTGTAATATTTCATAATATTGGCTCCAAGTTCAGTCAAAGCGCCTCTGAACTGAACACACTTATAAACTGAGCTGAATAAACTGAACACTTATATAAACTAAATACCTTCAAAGTGAACACCTCTCTAAAACAAATATCTCTGTAGCCAACTAACTGTAATTCTAAAAACTTTTTGTTTTGGTTCAAATGTGTCTTATATCATTTTTTATTATAAGTGGCATGAACCTTTCGTTCCAAACATTGATTATTTTTTTATACAGAAACAGCCTGAAAATGAAAAAATACATTTGGAGCAATTTCTTATTTTGTCCGATTCATGAAAATCATAAAAAAAAAAAACATTAAAATAGCTATATGCAATTTCTTTACTATGTGTTCACATACAATTTTGAGATGTGGTGAAAACGTTTCCGCATAGAAATCAATAGTCAATGGCAATACAACAAATCATTGTTATGACGGTTTCATTTGCATATTTTGCAAAATATAACAAAGGCGTAAAATAAAACAATAGTGCAAATACAGTCTCAACACTAATGAGAAATTGTTCAATGTTCAAACGCCACACGCCGTTACGTGCAAAGTAGTGTAATGTACTGTTATCTCCCACAGATAATAGATCATGAATGATAGGCTCAGGGTGTTTGTAGTCGAGGATTGTGTTATTAGATCAAATTGATTCCCTTGATAATTATTTTCTTGGCGATAGCCGTTTTGGCACCATCAGTTATAAAGAATGTATTTGAAGATGGACTGATCCTATTGTGCTTCGTTCACTAGCTGTTATTTTATAAAGAGGATTAATGTCTTGCAGCTCAAAAAACCGCATTTCGAACGTAATTCCACAAAGCACCATCTAGAATGGATAAGGAATTATACATATAGCACATATACATATGCCAAGATGTATTAATTGACAGTTTGTTCACAAATCCTGCTCGTTTTATCTTCTGCAAATATGAAAAATGTGCATGATTACAAAATCTACGAAAAGAAGTGGATTTGGGTAATATGAACCCTTAAACTCGCGTTTGGATGAAAAATACAACAACGCAGTTATTATCACATGCTTTCAAGAAGATAATAGGATTTCATACGATAAGGAAAAAAGATTTCTAACACAAGTTGGGGATTGTGTGTCCATGAGATGAAGAAATATCACCTTTGTATTTTTAGACAAGGTGAATAAAATAGACAATCCTAACTACAGAACCATACTCATTTACTTAAAAGATAGCAGCTGAAAATTACCAGTAATGACTAGATGGAAAAATACACAACCCTGAATCTCGGGAAACACAAACAACATATAGTATTTCAACTAGACACCTAGAGGGCCTTGTATACATGAACCACATACATGTATTCTAGCTGTCAGAAAAAAGTTGTCGACGTTCGACCGTATAATATGTGGTAATAGTGACGCACAAACTTCGTGGCGAAATTTCTAACCTAACGATTCACGGGCGACAAACTGTTATATTCAAAACTTGTTCAAACTAACATTTCTCAACATATTTGCGCTTAAGTGTCAACAGTGAAATGGGTGGCCAGGGTTCAGTAGATATACTATATAGGATTAGTTAAGTGAATTGCAAATGTTCAAGTCGAATACGTCATACGGTCGTTTCTCAACAAGTGGTCTCTGACAATATGTACCCCGTTCGATTCGATTCTACATAACGTTATATTCAAATAGTCGGCTAAATCCGAATGCAACTAAAAAATCATCATGTTGGAAGTTAAACAAAATATTCCTATGATAAACACAATACCAGTAGAGCAACTTATTTGAATTTCACTTCTTCAAAATACTTAATTTACCTCAACAATTTCTTCATATTGGCATATTTAAGCCCAATCTTTAACACTTCCCTTATACTGAATGCCTGCAGCTTTTTAATAGAACAATAATTTCACTTATGTGATTTTTTTTGTCAGTATAATGGCTGTTGAGATTCACAGGGTTATATTTTACCAATCACAAAAGGACACTTTGTTAACGGTGATTGTGACATTGACGACAACCTACATTATTCTATTTATATTCCTGCAAACCATATGCAATCTTTTTAAATTGAATAAGGTTAAATAAAAATATTCATTACACTCAGTTTGTTTTAAATGTATATGTCTGGGGAGTCATAAACCCTCGGTAGATGTGAATAAATATAACAATGACGTAAGCACATCGGGCTTCTTAAGCGTACGAGTTGTCATTTGGAGATACCATGTGATCGACACGGCCCATCCGTATGTGAATGCCTTTGCGTGTAACAGTGATCAGCACATAGACCAATAGTTAAAAAAAAAAACTAAACCTAGGTTGAATTAATATATTTCGTGGGGAAACTTGGTTAAACAAGTTTTGAAAAATGAAAATCTTGTGTTATTGTGTGAGGTCCTTTAATACCAAATACATAGGTAGTAGATGTGATATATCGCGTTGTGGGTTCGCAGTCAAACATGATGGCATGTACTCACAAGGAATATATTTTTACCGTCTTTCTATAATCAAATATAAAACTTATTCTTCTCTTATTCTTGACTATCCATTAAGAATGTTAGTATTACACTGGCATCAATACCATTCGGAGTAGATGTACCGATGAAACGTAGAGGAGTTTTTAGTCGAAGCTGCCTACTGGTAATGTGGTTTGATATTTACTAGAGAGATATTTATAGGCACGCAGGTAACAAGCAGTCAGGTAGAACAGGGCACGACATTTTGCAGGAAAAGAATGAATGACCCAAATACATGTCCTTTGCGCAACAATCACATAATACGAAGGTTTTGAGCAATTGTTGTGGTATAATAGGTCATGGGTTTCTATTGTTCAGAAATGTATGCTTAATGCGTTAATGTACAATTATTTCGTGTCGCACATGTGTTTCCGTGTACAGCTCAGATACTAAATTGGCAAATACGGTGTAATATTTTGCATTTTACACGCCTAATACAAAAGATGATTGGATTGAAAACATGTATTGTATTCGAACCCTTTCTTGGCCAACTTTTTTCAGTAATTTAGAAAGAAGTCAACTCCAGAAGTTACACCTTGACTAAAAATACAATAGCGATTTACAAAATAAGCAACAGTTCAACAATTAGCTGCAATAATTACACTCTGCACATATGAATTCAAGTGCGGTCGGTTTAGATTAGCATAAAGACAAAGAGACAAGTGTGGATTTACAAAAATAAACCAACGGCCCAAACAGTGGGTCACATGACCAAACGTGGTATAAGACTAGATGCGTTCGCAATGACTGTCCTGAGCATGCATAGAGTTGAAAGACTCAGGAAAGAATCTATACTGTCCTGACATTAAAACAACTGCAATTCACTCACCTTGTGAGTAATAGTTGTCAAGAAGACAAACACAAGAATAATTAATTGAGTCATGTTTCCACCAACGTTAAGGAAGTGAATGTTCAAGGTGACCTTATTTGAACCACCTTATTTGAATGCCGGCCTCGCTTTCGTTGCAAAGCTTCGTCGATAAATAAAGTAATTATTAGACCCAGATATCGACATAAATTTATGTAATTGAAATCAGTAATGCATTTCTATAAAGGCATCCGATGTGAAGAATCATCGAGCATTGACAGTACCGGTGAAAACCAGCCTTTGACTGACGCTTGCAGTGTCAACCAAAAACGTAGGAAGCACTGATTAAGCGGCGCCTTTGTTCTTGACAACTGACGAGACAATTCATTGAACGCGACTGAAATGACACTGCCGGTCGGGCGCTTTACCTGAGTGATGGAGGGTGTAGATATCAAAATTGTTTACAATGGCGACGCTCAATACAAACTCAATGCAATCTGTGTCGAGAAAAGAACTTTTGGGGTAATGCTTTGATGCCCGATCAATGAGTATCCGACGTGAAATAGCATTCGCTTTCTAAGCACAGGTTTCTTATTTTGACAATTTAAAGAAACGCCAGGAATATCTTGACCAACCCATGACTTATGACGGCTTTATGTGTAAAATAAAACGTTCCACGATGTTGGTTGTCCACATTGTTCAGAAACAGCGGCACGACATTTTGCACGAGAGGGCGAGTTATGCTCGCCATCCTTAATTATAAAATCTTAGACTCATTTAGAAACGCCATTTCCTGCATTTTGAGGGTTAAATTTAAATAATACGAAGGGTTTCAGCTTGATTTGTCCCCTCCCCATCCAACACTTTTCGAGGGCAACTGCCATCGGTAGCGTCACCTCTGTTGTTATTCCGGCCTTGTTAGTTTAAACATTTTTGTTTCCAAATATTATTTGTAGCTACTCCGAAAACTAAGCTGACCGCTAAAGAAATCCCGACTGGACGCGTCTGTGGACATTTGACTGATATTAATTATTCATGTGTCATTGTTTATTCATGAGTGGGTGTGTGAAAGTAAACGTGACGTTTTAGAGATTGATTCGATTCGATCGCAGAGATAGATATTTTAACTTTTTTTAAGCGCAACGGCGATACTTTCATCCATGTTTACTGAACACAAGTCGATTTAAATGTCCAATGTATATAATTAGTCTTTCAAAATCGCCGGGACCTCAGAAGTGAAAGGTCACGTACATTAACATAGATAAGAGATGGCGTATACAGCTGCACTTTGATTTTAATTAGCATAATCACCGGAGTGATTTCGCTCCGATTTTCACTCCAACGCAGGGGGTCGCCTGCAGATGCGTCCAGTCGGGATTTCTTTCGCAGTCACGCTAGTTTTTGCGATCGCGTTAAAAAAGCTAAATTGACAATTGATTATATTTTTTTGTAAAACAAAAAAGAAGTCCCGACTTTGCCAGTCTAACAGGTGATATATGCAGCAGTATCGAATATTATTCGTGTTGGGATTCACTATTACAAATTTTTTGAAAAATTATTGAAATTATTTCCAAAGCAAAAAGTTCTTTTCTCCCTAACGATGAGGGAAGTAAATCCACAATGAAGTTGTCAGTAGGTGAACAAATCAGTTTCTTATTTCCAACTCCTCAATATGATATGGTGGTTTGAAACCACTTTCCTCCAATAGTACAGACACCTGATCTATAACAGAAGTGATATTCCTGCGCATATCCGGTGTGAAAGCTGCATACTGCAAAGTCTTGTCTACGTCATTCTTGCGATGGAAGGCGCCCTCCAGATTCCGCGTTATACAAAGTAAGCGCCGATTGGTTGGGGGAATGTGCAGGAAATCTAACATCCGGGTAACTTCTCCGACAGGATCGTTGACCACGTCTTCATATCGTGACATCATTATTGGTTTGTCGAATGTGTTCAGCCATAATTTGATGAAATGGATCCACTGGCCTGTTAGAGCTTTAACAGTTTCACGCCATTCTGTAAAAATAAGAGTATACTTTTTCAATATCACGTGTTTTACTGAATCACATACAGATAACACACTATTGGGCTTATTTGTCTGCAGACACAGACAAGTACTTCAAGTCAGTCGTTACTTGAACAGTACTTGAACCTTGCCAATGTTTTATTCACTTATTCACAAGGTCATCGAATTAACTTGATTGTTACACCTCGTCAGCGTTGTATTTAATTTGAAGTCATTCAGTTAACTTGACCGTTACCCCTATTATTAACACTAACTGAGAAAAAAACTAACATGTAATCTAAAACAGGGATTAGTGTTGTACTTTTGTCTTGATTTATCTATAAAAACATCGCTTTATCTCCTGGAATACCCAACTTATATTAGGTCGCCTCGAAATGCGTGGCAATTATCACATAATGTTATATGTACATCTCATACTAATGAATATATCAACTGTAAATATATCCTAAAATAAATCCAAATAATTCACGGCAATACACGACGACATTCGAGTGTAGACAATTATAGAAATTCTTAGATTTGTTCACCAGTGTTACCTTAAAGCACGGTGGTTATCACCTCGTGTCATGTTTGATATTGGCCTCAGCGACATACAAAACGTGGATAAAAAATTAAATTGATTGTCTACACGAAATCGGACGCCAGTTTCACGGTCAGAGGTGGGGCACTCAATTGTGCATGGGAGTGAGATCTGCACACCGTCTCTCGCACCGAATGCGCGACCTTACTAGGGGGTCTGGGCCATACTCCCCCTTTTTGAAATCTAGATCTTCTGAAACGCTAGTTCATGCTATTTGAGGGGCACATTTCTCTGACACAAAGAGTTTCAGCTTCATTTGGAACAATGTTTTCGAGGGGCGACCTCCCCTTTTATCCCCCCATGCCGCCGCCACTGAAGGCGGCTGTAATGCTCATATGATCGAATTCAATATTTGTCTTGTTATTAACACTGATCTGCACACCACTGCGTAATTACTTTAATAGTTACTCATATAAGCCCACTGTGTTACTTACCTTGATTGTTCTGCATATCTGCTCCCCAGTTAGCCACCCCAACATGACCCTGTGTCCTTCTGTTGTACTCGCTGATGATTCTGTCAAATGGATTGCGCAGTAATATGATGGCGGCCGAACTTTGTTTGAGAGATTTGTGTGTTTTGATGACGAGTGTCCTGCCCGAATTCCATTTCAGTGTTTCCCCCAAGAAACCTGCTTGTATGAACACATATATCGAGAAGTGTTATTGTGTGCTGGTCATAGTGTCCCAATCCTCGTATAATTGGATGATGTCGATCACGTGACATGTCGTAAATACTCACCTCCACGTGCCAATCTTGCATCATTATAATACGACCCTGTGGAAATTCCCGTCGCTTGTTCCAGTAAGTGTCTCACCCACGTATTGCCTGATGAGGGCGCACTGGCGAGAGCAACAAGTGGCAGACTGTGTGGCGGCGCTGGTTCTGCGGTACAGTTTATTTCTGAAATGAAAAATAATAAATAAAGTGCCGTTTTATCTTATGTAATGTCCATTATCTGTGGAATACGCTGACAAATGTGTATTTTAAAGTCCATTTCTTGTTGCTTTTCTATCCATAAAATGCACGAGATAAAAAATATAGCGCCACCTAGTGTTCAGACCGATGTTTTATAAGTCATTAGTGTACCGACATGACAATAAAGATCCACTACAGTGTTTAACTGCGTTTCAAGGTTTATGTTCCAAATTCATAACACAACATACACAAATAATAAACAGTCAGTTTAATTAAGAGAAACATTTACGTTTAGATTTATGACTAACAATATATTAGATAAATGTAACATCCAAATGGGAATCCTGTATTCCGCGGTCGTAATAAAAGTCTCCGATTTCATCATGGTCGATAAAATAAACCACGTGATCGATTTTGTACGTTTCTATCAAAGTCAGCGTTGCTAAGGTTGATGAGCACGTGATCGTACGTTTTTATTCGTCGTTTGAAGCCGCAAATGGCGCTCATTCCAGCATTGTCAAGACTCGGGGAGGGGCGTGTGGCTGGCATAGGTAGAACATATGAGTATTCTGCAAAATCAAAAACAACTCCTTTCCATTAGTTTTAAGTATTATATTGTTATAGAGAAAACGCTGACTTTATATTTGAGCTTAGTTCACTTTAGTCCAAGAATTTGAAGAAACACTGTATTCCCGTTCTGTTCTTTTTGTCTATAATATACTGCATTTCGCACTGGTTTAATTTTTCTCATAATATGTGACTGTTCTGGTGCAATAGAGTGAAATTTTAGTATTGCCTAATTGATATTCAGAATAAATTAATTAACTTTGTTATCAACATTATTATTCAAATCATGTCATGTAAAATTGAAATCATTGTTACGCCCGACAAAGTTATAATCATAAGTTCAATTGTTATATTTACACTTCAATAGGTATTACAGTCATGATATATATAAACAATTGCAGCTCATACATAAATCATTTTCTCTGTTGCTCTAATCAAACTTTCAATGGGAAGTTTATATTTTTGTTGTTATTTTATTAAGCGTTACAAATGTTAATGTTAAATATGCAATTATTTTACAGGGGTTGGAATAGCACGCTTGTTGTTATCTCATAATAAGACGTATAATACAGTACCTAAAGAGAATAATATTAGTACATGCATGCATTGTTACTGTATATGGCGGATATCACATTACGTATACAATTAGTCTAACTAATGTGCTATAGAAAAGTTTCAACATTGAATATTTCGTTACAATTGATATTTAAGTAGGTCACTTAACCGCACATGTCAATATCAATCTGGTGGCTACATTAATGTTATGTTAACATACTATGACGCAACTTCTTCGCTTAAAAAAATTAATTTGACGAATTTCGAACACAGGTGTGTACTTTACAAACATTTACTATCAAAACAGTGTTGAAATCACGAATGTTTCTGCTTTAATTTGTATCAAATTAACAGCTTTTACATAAAAAAATGACACCTGTTTAAATGGTACAATAAATCATATATTGCTGTTCCTACAAACTTTTGAAATGCAATATTAAACAGAACTTTTTTTTAAATAATCCAAATTATCCACATTCCCTTTACGAGAATGCCATATGAACGAAAACATATTGTTTTAATACTGTTGTTTCATACTGGATATTGGTTACCGATTTGGATTACTATTTATTGTCAAGTATAAGCGTTTATATTGTAACACATACGTTGGGTAGACAATAGAAACACACTAGTATGCACGTGCACTAGGTGTCAGAGCATGCACTGAAATGAGCAGTACACACACATATTGGAGAACTGTCAAACTAATTCTACAAGAAGAGTGCTTTCATTTCATAAATCATATTCAGTGCTTTTATCAAAATACAGTATCAAACAACAATACTAAAATTAAACGCGCTCTCTTCAATATTGAATCTTTGATGATTGCCAAATAATTGATCTTTCAGTTTTAATATGTGTTTCTCTCCGAGTATATAGCTCCGATAACCTAATATTTCACTCTGTGTGAAAACCATTTAGTAACACAAAGGTCAGTCCCAATTAGTTTTACATGGATGAACAAATTGCTAAGCGGCAGGCAGCGCAGCTTGTGTCGCATATGGTCCTACAGAGTTCACATTTACATTGAAGCGCTTAAATCGTCTGTTTAATGTGAATTTAAAATCAGTTATTTTATCCTACCAGTTCTGTTAACTATAGATTTGGTTCGAAATAGTGTTACCTTGATTGACATCCTGTCCACTCATGTCACCAGTTTCGTTCCGATGAAAAAGAGCTGCACTCTCTGTAGTCGCTGATTCCGTGTCTCCTACAGATTCTGTTTTCCTCGTATGACGTCCATCCTCCGTGGTGTCCTGCGTTGTATCCCCCATATCGCGTGTGTCATCTGCATCAAGTAGTCCATCGAGCCGTAGTCGTTTCAGCAACAATATATCTTTGTCACGGTACTCGAAATAAACCATAGTCACAGTGAAGATGGCGAACAAATAAATTACCGTCTTTTTAAACGAAATTAGATACATCATCTAAATATGATCACAGTCAGCGACGAGGCATCATCGATATTAAAATGCTCTGGGAAAATCAGTTCATTTTATACCTGTATATATGCAACACCGCCAGGTGTGGCACCAACGCCTGCCTAATTATGTATACATTTTCACTTCCAACGTAGTACATTATTTTCCCTTGTATATCGATTCCGGGTGTACAACCTGTACTAATAATAATGTGCTTTACAGCGATGCGGGTTTTCCTTTACCAACCCGTATGTAGATTAGATGGGGTTATTCTCTAGATACAGTACGAAATCATTCCAAAAGGCAGCATCAACACACCCTTTTTGTTGAAATCGTTGCGTTAATACTAAAAAATAATGTTATTAAATTCCCTCTCTGTAGATACGCAGCTGTGACAATGAGATTAAAAAGATGTGCCGATCACGTGGCAATGCAGTGCGTTATCTGTCATATATGAGTTACAAGTATGTCTGAGAGATGTCACGTGATTAGGCAAGCAATGGGGTTGAATATACGAGTAAAATTGTTTTCATGTATTTTTATTGTTTTCTTATTTTTTATATGTCTAAAACATATATATGAGATTTATGTCTGATGTCGCGAATAAACTAAATGAAAATCTTTTAAATCTTCTTATAAAACATAGAATTTTTAGTCTGAATTTGAGCCTAAATCAAAATGTAAAATCCCACTACCATAATTCAAACGGAAAGCCCACCCGTACTTGTTGGTCCTGAATATTTTCCTTCGGTATTTTATTTTACGGTGTTGCGGGAAACTTTGTTGGAGTGCCGAGATTCTAGTAGTAGCCAAGATGTGTTTGTGATACGGTGTGAATCACATAACAAGGCATGTAATCGTCTTTATATTCTTGGTTTTGTTCTTTTTTTGTGTTTATTAAATGCAAGGGGTGGTGCGATATTATTTCAATGAGTACCCAACTTAAATTTGTGAGTGAGTGGAATTTGCTCCCAAAAATTCGATTGTGTTTTGACAACAATTATGAAGTAAAGTAACTATTAAATATTTTGTTGCATTGTATATGTTATTGTAATTGACCGTTAAAGCATGTCAAAGTGAAAGCTAGCAAGTCTGTCCGTACGTAGAAATAACCGCAGCGATCGACTGTATCAAGAAAGGTGAAACCAAATCAAGGATTTAGGTGATCAAACAGTCGGTATTGAGTAAAGAATGAAGAACAGACGATAAAATTGGATTTCGAAGTTTACCAAGTCGGACTAGACAGAAAATGTGCGGTATTATCCGACAATGACGACATCGATAAAGATGCGACGCTGTGATGTTTTTTCAATCCATTTTCAATGCATGAACGCCCACTTTCACGACAAGTTATATTATAAATTGACAGTAATGATTGAAACCAGACTGGCACATAAAAAGTTGAGTTTGCTGTAATTGTCTGACATTATTTGTTTTTATTCATAATCTAACTGTAATTGAGAAACTATGGTTTATTCGTTTAGTTTTATAACCCCCTTACTAAGTTGCGGGTGTCGGGATCCCGATAATAATGTCGGACAATAGACCATTTTTCCGTTCACTGCGAGAATCACGCGTTATGCGTGAAATCGAAC